AAAAACCCACCTTATAATTAATATTTTTAAAAATTATCCATTAGATTGAAAGTTCTATCCATATAAATCATACACATAAATTTTCTTATTGATCTAATATTTACTACCCTTTGATCAAAAAAACTTTATTTATTGACATATATTCAACTGTGTTAAATTTTATGTAATTAACGAAATACTTAGGCCTATTAAAACAATCTAAAAATTGACATATATAGTTTATATAAATAGAATTTTCAATTCAACTGTTGATTTTTTAAAATATTAATTAGAAGATAAGTTTTTAAATATGTCCTCCAAACAAAATTTGGGAGGATGACCTATAAAATACTTTTCTATATAATATATATATATATAGAAGCTTCTAATTTTATTACAAGAAAAAAGAAGTTTCTGATTTAATTTTAGTCAAGTAAAACACTTACTGGAGTCCCCTTTACAATAGTAGACACATAAGCAGGCGCTGCACCTTCAATACCTGGCACTGGAGCAAGTCGTGAAAGCCCAAAGTCGGCAACCTTTGCGACCAATTTAGAATCCAATAATATATTGCTGGCCTTGATATCCCGATGAAATATAGGAGGATCAACTTCTGTGTGAAGGTAGAGGATTCCTTTGGATGAACCAAGAGCAATTCTTAACCTCCTTGTGAAACTCAAAGGTTCTTTAATCTTTCCTGCATGCAGTACCATACAGATAAAATATTATACTAAGGATCATGATATTTGCATATAGAATTAAAGGTTGTCATTTTGCATTTCTTGAACTCAAAGGTTTACCTGAAAGATGATCTTGCAAAGTGCCATTAGACATATATTCATACACCAACATCTGTTGACGGTAACGGGCATATGTGATAATAAATTTCAATTAACAAATGATAGTAGGCATGAAATTCTATCCCAATACTAAGTTGGTTAATCAAATTACTTTCTTAGTGATGGTTCATCTCTCCAATATTTTATTATAGTTAGGCTAATAAAACATTGAAATTACATCTTTTATCCCTCCATACATTTATTTCTCAAACCATTTATGGGTAGGAAAAAATATAATACTATATCAATCAAAATTTTTAAAAGACATGAGATAAAGTACCTGTTCACCTTCTTGATCACAATAACCAACCAAAGAGACAAGGTTTCTATGATGTAACCTTGACAACAACTGTATTTCAGTTAGGAACTCCTTTTCACCCTGTAATGACCCTTGTTGTGCACGCTTTATGGCAACAATCGTGCCATCAGCTAGAGTGCCTCTATAAACCTTTCCGTATCCACCTTGGCCAATTTGAGTGAAGATATCAAAATTGTTTGTTGCCAAAACCAGTTCTCCATATGTGAAACTCTTGACACCATCAATTTTTAACAAGGCTCTAGATGCTGTACAAGAAAACAGGTCTCTAAATGTTTGAACAAATTTAATTGCTGTTAAAAGAATGTGCCATTTTTTTTTCTTCTTTTTTTTTTTTCATTTCCTAAAAAATATCTAAGAGATGAATAAGATATATTTGGATAAAAGGAAGTGTTTTACGGTGACTCAAATCCAAAATGAATCTAAACCAAGATGAATAACTGAATAAAGGCAAAAAAAACGGGACTTCTTCCTTTATATTTTAGTAACTACTAGCTAAATAAAATGCAATTCCATTCACTGTTCTGCAGGATAAGTGAAAATGAAACTGGTAGAGAGTCCTAGTGATTAATGAACAAAAATCATGAGAGCATCAAGATTTATCTGTGTGGAAAAATAATACCATATGTAATATCTGAAAAGAAAATTATTTTTTATAGACAATCAATCTAGAAAGTAGTACACAAACATATAATAATATATACAATCAACTTGCACATCCTATCACCAGAAATTTTAAGATACTCACACTGACGTCGTTTTAAAACTGCATGGTAGCCCCTCAGGCGCCTTCTGAATATAATAAGTGAAATGATTGCAGATAATGTAACTGCACCAGCAAAGGTCCCCAGTATAATGCTAGCCAATGCACCTTTACTTACGCCTGTCGATAAAGAGGGGCTGGATTCTGCAAAATTATATGATAATATAAAATTTTTTTTATTAAAAAAAATGAAAGTTATGGATAAATATTCTTTAGGGTAGGAGATGAAGTCGTGGAACAAACCATCCTTAAAGACATCCGGAAAAGTGAAGTTTATAAGTTCGTAACATCCAAATATGCCACTAAGAGGGATTCTCACTCCAGTGAACATGCTCCTAATTTGTCGAACATCACTTGGATTGAATAAATGATTGTTGGTAGTGTTATCGTAAATAGGATAGAGCTTTAAGTACATTTCCACTTGTGATCCTTCTAGCCATGCAAATGAATAGATGTAGAGTTGATAAATAGACAAGCTGAGACTTTGAGTTAGGTACTCCTCAAACATCTTTTTATATGGAATAAAATCTGAAAAGCCAGGACTTTTCAACCGAAATCCTATTAGCAAAGGCTCGGCACAAAAGCAATTTAAAGGAGATGTTGGGGAATACTCATAAGGGCATGATTGAGGTTTACACTCAGCGGTGGTGGAGTTTGTTGCAGTGCTTATTCTAATTTCATTCTTAGTTTGAGATTTACAGAACTGAACAAAACTTCCACTGGAGCATATAGGATTCCCCTTAAGCCTGAAAGACAAGAAGATATTCAGTTTCACTTTAGATTGTGAACCTTTCTTTTCTTTATATATATATGTATGAAAAGAGTATAAAACCAACAGGCCTGTTGAAGGTGTAATTGTACATTATATTATATTGTAGGTAAATTAATAGGATATAATAGCAAAGTAAAATTAAACACATTAATAGTTATTTAATTAAAGTAAAATCAAAAGAAATGGCATGCAAGAGCAAACCAGAGAGTGACATTTGGAGGGAGGTAAGAACTTCCAGAAATATTGACAAGCAAATTGTTCTCCAAATCCCTGCACAGTTAATGTAAAG